ATAAATTTTTAACCCTTTTGAGTCAGCTAATAGAAATATAATACTGATTTCAATTTTAAAGCTTTGGGAAGAATATATATACAATGGTTCTCTAGCATAGTGTGATATTTTCTGAATCATCTTACCTGAATTAGTCATAAGTTTTGATAACTTTAATTAATTTGGTGTTTCGTTAAAGCAACGTATGAAAAGAAATTATTCATGTAGAATTAAATGTCATCATAGGTTGATGGATGATTCTTAAAGGACAAATACTTTTTTTCGATAAGTGTTCTTTTATCAAGCGTTGGTATATCCAGATGAGCTGAATATTCGTTCAGGTTATTGGAGTAAGTTCGTCAAATAACATATTTTGTGTAACAAAAAAATTTTAGTGCACCGAGTCGATGTAAAATAAAATTACGAGACTGGACACAAGTAATACACAATATCAAAAATATTTATTAATGCACTAAACCCACACATAGTGTGTATGTGTTTACCTCGAAAACACTTACTTTGGATGATTATTCTAAGTAGCTCTCTTCGGCTGGTCAAGAAGAAGTTCTAGAAATGACCGATTAATTGAATAACTTTGAAACTAACTAAATGTCAGCTTTCTTCGCAAATAAGAAACTTCGCATTTACCCAGTGTGACATGTGATCCTAAATATCACCCATGACCATTGAAGAATACTACTGTCGACATCCTTACATGATGTCGCTTTAAGCAATGTTCTTCACGGGTGGCAACAGGTATTACCAACTTTGAGAAAAATAAATAATTCTTCAGGCTTGAGATAAGATCAACTTAACGGCTTTCTTGAACATCTGTTTATGAAACCCGCACATATTCAGAAGAATGGATAAATTCAGAATAATCATTATAACGCTACGAGAAGATAGAAACACTTAGTATGTTCATATACTACAAGCAAATAGCTACATCATGGACTATCAGTGCTCTGCCCACCACAGGTGTCGAAACCCAATTTTTGGCATTATAATCATCCAAACTTCCCACTGGGGCAAGGGAGGATTACTAAAGAGATAAGAGTGTAACAAAAATCACTCTATATTATTTTTGTCCAAAATAAATCAAATATGTTAAGTATTTGAAGCGTAAAGTTTCTATGTTGTTACATTCATGTTGGTCTTTTTTTGTTTTGTTTACATTTATCAAATAAATAAGTATCTGAATATTAATGGGTAGTGTTTTGAGTGGTCGTAGAATAATAATAATAATGTTATAACGTTTTTCTTTCATTTGGCGGTTCTTTTAAATTATTTGGGGAAATATATTTCAAAGTCGAGTCCACGTAACAATAACAGATTGGTTTATTTTTCATAACATTTCTACAAGCTTGTACACTATTGTAAGTTATAGGTTTAAGTGAACAAATGACGTTCAAATGGAAATACCTCATTAACACTAATACGACTAATGTAAATATAAATTTACATGTGCAGTTTTAGAGCTAATCGGATCATGTAACTGATCCACATACTTCAGTGCTAGTTGAGAACAAAAATACGCACACTGTTTGCTGATTCTCGCATTTATAACGTAGCCTTATTTCTAAACACTTCACAAAAACTCTTGATCACGACATTCCAGTACATTCTAGGTATTCTAGAACTAATTTAACTTTAGCTAACATTTAAATTAAAAATTTGGAAATATAGCTTACAATAATAATAATAATCGATATACAGTACCTTGCAAAATTATTCTCTCCTACCAATAATATCACACTTTGATGAAATACAAATAACGCAAACAATTTTTTTAATGAACTTGTCTTTATT